GGGGGGGGGGGGGGTGGAGGTGGATGGCAGATATGGTAAAACCTCATTGGAAATGCGAGGGATGCTGTTTTTAAGGATAAATAAAAGGTAACGAGTGTCCCAACAAAGATGATACTTAATGCTGAACTAAACATTTAAAAATAGCGAAGATGGTAAATTTTATGTTACTGACTTTTTACCACAATTTTTAAAAAAAGTAAACAGCTGCTAATGTAAAATGGTATAACAGAAATATTTAATAAAAAACAAAGAAAGGAATAAAGAAACAAAGGCCAGAGAAAGAGAAAGGTAGGCATAAACACAATATCAGTCATTATATGACACAAAGACTGAACACTCTAGTTAAAGACATGGAATAACAAACTAGATTAAAAGAGACACATTAAAGACTTTTACGTTAGCTCTGGCCGGGTAGCTCAGCTGGTTAGAGCGTAGTCCCCATACACCAAGGTTTTGGGTTTGAACCCGGGTTAGGGGACATACAAGAATCATCAGTGAAAGCACAACAAATCAGTGTGTTTCTTTCTCATATGGGTTACTTATGTCTTTTTCTGTGAACTGTCTGTGACCTTGGCACATTTTAAAGTTGAGTTATTGGTCATTTTTCTGTTGACTAGTTATATTTTAGGAATGAATAGCCAGTGAGTGAGTTGTATATATATTTTTGAGTTCACTTAACTTACGATGTCTCCCCTACCCCCATACAGAAATTTTTAATTTTTTATGTAGTGATTTCATTGATCTTCTGGATTTTGATGAAGAGATAAAAAGGCTTTCCAGGAACAGGGAGTTGCTAACGCAGGACCTATAGAGCTTCAGACATTCTGTGCAGTTCTGTGCACGTTTGCTTGTATGTTTTTCTAGAAAGATGCCTCATGACTTTTATCAGCATCTGAGAGGAGCCTGTGAGCCAAAGAAGGTTAAGGCCCCAGGTAGAGTAAGAAAATGCATGTTTATTTCAACAGCACCAGAAACTAATGTGATTGTTTCCTGTTTCAGACCCTCTTGCATGAGATGATCCATGCCTACTTATTTGTCACTAATAACGATAAAGACCGGGAAGGGCACGGCCCCGAGTTTTGTAAGCACATGCATCGCATCAATCGCCTGACTGGAGCCAACATTACGGTATGTGAAGCCACACACATTGCTGATATTCAGTAGTTCATTCATCCAGTAATTGCTGAGATTTAGTGAAAGATAGAGAACTGGGTAGAAACGAATACTCTCTTGGAGGATTTTGCCCAGAAGCGAGAGGCCTGGAGATGCTGACTTGGGAGGGGCAGCGGAGCCGGCCTTCCTGGAGGCACCTTTCCTGCGGTCGCGTCAGGCCTGCAATCCCTCTTCTGGGCTGTTGACGGCGGTCTCCCACGTGCTTCCTTAGTATAGTCTCCTCCTTCATTCCACCCTGTATTCTGCGCCGCTTCACGTCCTTCCCTTCCCCAAGGCGACTTCGATTTCTATTGCGACATAATATTGTAGGAGGTGGCAGAGCCTGGGGCCCGAAGAGCATGAGGGTCAGACTGCGTGGGTTCAGGTGCTTGGGTTCAGGTGCGGGCCTACTTAACTCTTCTCCGCCTCATCTTACATGGAAAGTGGGGATGAGCACAATAACTTGGATCCTTATGAGGATGGAAGGAGAAAATACTAGCAGAACCTTTTAGCACCGTTTGGGTACTAATTAAATATTAGTTGTTTTTATTGTTATCAATTGGTCTTACCAGATAACCTCTGTTCCTTTTTTTTTCTTTCCTCCCACATTCCCCTGTTTAGATAGGTCTTGTGTTGCTAACTGAACTTTCCACCTCCATCCCCTCCTCAAACCCTCCCTAAACTGTGCCACTTTTGTTTGCTGTAAGCATGTTCATCTGCCCAGTGGGCTCTGACTTCTCTGTCCTAAGTCTCAACAGACATTGAACCTTCTGCAGGATTTTATCTTCTCAACCCAGGGCGCTCTCCCTCTTCCTAGATCTCTGTGTATGACGCTTAATGGAGCGAGCACCTCTGGAAGGACTTAACAGACTTTGAACAGAAGTGAACCAAATAGGACATTCTTGCATAAATTCTTTGGTATTTGGGGTATCACCTTCCTTTAATAGGCAGTAGATGCCAGTGTGATGAAAAACAAAAAGTGCTTCCCTTGATGTATTTTTTCTAGCTGTCAGTGCTAACTTTCTAGAGCGCTCATTAATTAGTATAGAGTTACTTCAACATCAAGAAAGTGGCTTGCGTTAAAGAACAATCACAGAGAGCCCAGATTAGCAAAAGCATCGTGGAGCTGCCAGTATAAAAGGCTTCTGGTCTCATTAGAATTTGCACTTTCAGCTCAGCGGGAAGAGGATATATTCTTTTATCTTGGAGGCCTGTGTGTTGTTAGGTCGGAGAGGTTTGATCGAGTGGACACCCTTGCTTTTTCAGGTTACATCCTGTTATAACAAACTCCACAGGCCTCCAGTTTCACACTGCGGAACCATTTTCTTTTAGTGGCCACATTGTTAAAAGACATTCCCCGTCTGTAGGAGTTACAGGAGGTGGAAGCAAAACAGATCCAATTCCCAGATTTTGTGGCCAATTAGTAAGCAGAGCTCTCAACAGGAGGGAAGGCAGGTCTTACATCCATGCCTCTGCCCCGAGCCTCTGTCCCCCCGTCTCTTCCGCACCTAATACAGTGCGCCTTGTCTGCATGCTGGCCGAGCAATAGGGTTTTTCTTGCTTATGATGGAGAGATGGGGAGTGTAAAACGATCTGTAGAGTTACAGGAAGCTTAGCATTCTTTCCCACATGGGGAGTGTATTAAAAAGTATGTCTTACAAAAAAGTAAAAAATCTCATATACAGATGCTCCTTATCTTGGACAGATAGTCATGTTCCCCTGAGGAGACAGAAGAGAAGGGACTCAGTCATTTAGGAGAATCCGTCTTTAAATGGTGCCCTGCCACCCTCGTTGCCACCACGGCGGGAGGGCTAGCCTTCCTTCAGTCCCAAGTCTGCATCTGCCTCTGCTTAGGCTCTAAATAGGATCTCATCTCAGGGTGAAACAGTGATCCTGTTTAAGGAGTGAAAAGCGCGTTTACAGGGAACCTGGACTCATTGAATGAAGCTCTCCAGGCAGCCAATACTGGGCCCTTCATGTGCCACACGTACATTAGCCACCGAGGACACAGAGGTGAAAACATTAGAATTCTGGACAGTGTTTCCCCCTCCAGCAGATCAAATGAACCCACGGCTTCTCTGAGAGACGCGAGCAGAGAGCCGCGCAGGTGCGGAGAGCGGGCTTCCGCAGAGGCTGCACGGGCGAGGGGCTTGTGTTCAGGGAGCTCAGCATGGAAAGGAGCCCTCAGCCCTTTGGTGCTAAACTTGTAGGGAAACAGTTCTTATTGTTATGGCATACAGACTCTTGTTTTTTATCCTAAGTTTTTATCATATTAAATTCGTTTTCTAAAACTTTAGCATGTATGGAGGCTTTGCATTTTTCTAAAAGGCTTTCTTTTTGTCTTCTAATCCACATTTAACTGCTGCTCTTCCCCATTAAAGTGAACTTTGAACAGAGCTAACTATAATTGCTGTCTTTCCCAAAATAAAACTTCAGAAAGTTCTAGGAAACTGGAAAGCTTTAAAAAAAAAAACACTCCTTCTGTATTTTCTTAAAATTGTTAAGTTGCCTACTCAGTGCTAAACCCTCTCTTTCAAACCAGATATACCACACCTTCCACGACGAGGTGGACGAGTACCGGCGCCATTGGTGGCGCTGCGATGGGCCGTGCCAGTTCCAAAAACCCTACTACGGCTACGTGAAGCGTGCAACCAACAGGGCTCCCTCCGCGCACGACTACTGGTGGGCTGAGCACCAGAGCACCTGTGGGGGCACTTACATCAAAATCAAGGAACCGGAGAACTACTCCAAAAAAGGCAAAGGAAAGACAAAGCTCGCAGCAGCGGAGAATAAAGGTAACTCTGTTACATGCCAGCTTTTCCACAATGGTAGCTACAGCGTAAAGACAGTACCATCTTTTAGAAAGCTGGCACACAATATTAAGAGAATCTTAAGGATTGTTTCTCGACGTTTTCCAGTGTGGGCTTATAAAACTCTTATAGCCCATGAATGATGGTAGAAAAACACACGTGTAGATGGAAGTAAAAGTCGAAATCGTTTCCACGGATAAATATTTGAGGGTCCCCCTTCCCTATGACTCAGTGAGTCATTAGGAAACAGAAGGCAAAAAGATTGTCAAAACAAAAACACCAATTCCAACAACAATGCCCGGAACGTGAGCCGTTCCTACACCCCTTCCTATCAGCTGGATTCTGTCCAGCTGACTCTCCTATTGATGTGTGTCCGTCCATTGGGAGGAGAACGGGGACAGGATGTGACATGTGCCTGCAAGGACTTCGTCGTCAGGTTTCTCCCTTTCCTGACAAGTCCAGTCCCTGCCTTTTGAAGAGGGAACAGGTTACTAGAGTTCATGCTTCCTCCCCGGGAAGTTGTTGGTTTGATGGGGGACCGGGCATGTAAGCTGCACTTCCCCAATCCGAGACAATCGGTTGAGGAGCTGTAGAGGGATTTAGGGGCGATCACACCTGGGTGTTGTGAGGAGGAGGCTGTGGCATGTGGTGGGCTTTCCCCTCCTGGAACGAAGCTTTCAGATGCTAAGCAACGTTCAGGGTAAAGTTATGTCGCTGCGGGTCTTTGCATGATAAAATGAGAGCATTTTTTTATCCTTTGTGTTCTCTGAGTACGAGCTGCTGAAGATTGTCTTTCTTTCATTAATAAGTAATTATATGGATCTAAGTTAGAATGAAATACTTCTTAGTATTTGTTACTGTATTAATTTGGGTGAAGGAAAAGTCTCATTTGCCTCTGTTGCAGATAAAACGAATGGAGTTGTGCCGTTTAGCGGGAGAGGCCATGTCCTGGGAGAAACAAACAATCTCCTGTCCTCTGGGAGGTTCACCACTTCACGTGCTAATAAAACCCAGGACCCTTCAGGTCCAGACCACTCAGCCAGTGCTGTGAGATGGAATGCAAAAACGGAAGCGAAATTTGAACAGAACGGTTCCAGGAAAAAAACGGCCTCCCCTGTGCTTAACACCAGTCGCCAGAGCGTGGTGAGCAACTACTTCCCCCGAGCGTCAGTGGCCAACCAGAAGGCGTTCAGGAGTGTGAGCGGGTCCCCCACGAAGGGCGCCGCGGTGGGCGACACGGGGAAGAGCTCCGCCTCGGCCGTTTCTCAGAGAAGGACTTCCTCCTCCAAGGCCGCCCTCAGGAACTCGCTCAAAGCGGTGGAGGTGATGTCCGAGACTGCGTCCCGGGACAGGAGCCGGGCCGAAGCCGAACCCCCCAGGAAACAGCGCCGGCGGGAAGACAAGACGGTTTTTGACAATTTTTTCATCAAGAAAGAGAAAACACGAAGCGACGGCGGCTGTGATCCCCAGTGCAGCTCACGCCCTGCGGCTGCAACGCAGAGTTCCGGCAGCTCCACCAGCCAGAGCACCACAGTGGCTTGTCCTGTGTGTCAGAGTGAGGTGCTGGAGGCTCAGATTAACGAGCACTTAGATGTGTGCCTTGAAGGCGAGAGCAGCAAAGTCAAAAGAAAAAGAAATCTTTAAAAAGAATGGGTCTCACACACCAGCAGTGTGACCTCACCATTCGTGTCAGTCACTCAGGAAGTTCTGGGGGATACTAAGACGTGTAGGTTATAGTCTAGCTGTAGTCCCCAACAGATGTTCTGTTTTACATATACCTACGACACTGTAATGTAAAGTATTTGTCAAAGGTGCTATATTTATATTCACTCGTGCCTTACGTATACTGCAGCCCAGCTCTGCGTGTTTACATGCATAGTTTTCAGATACTCTTCTTCCTTGCTCTTAAAGGTTTTAAATATTTTAATCTTTTTGTGTACTTCCCTCAAAATATTTAGTGAGGAATTAAATATTTGGTTAAATTGAGTATTTATTAATATTAAAACTCATTCCTAGTACTGTTCATGTGTATAGTGTCAAGCATATTGACCAAAACACAATCTAGAATACAAAGTTAGCTGTGTTAGGGTACTCAAGGTTATTTAAAAAACTTTTTAGATTTTTTTCCTCCCAAATCTTAACAGGAAATACATTTTATACACTTGAATTTTATTTGTTTGACTTTGGTGGTAACTGATTTTAGGTGAAAGTAGATTTCTTTTGGAGTATTACTAGTCAAATAGCCACTATAATTTTCTAGGCCAGAGTTTAGTTTTTTCAAAATTTAGCAAAATGAGTGGCTAAAACTTGGTGCTAAGTAATTAATATATATAACATAGCAGAGTTAGTTGCCTAGTTTATGCGACAGTGAACCATTGTCTGAAAGTAGTAGTATGATGCTATAAGCCAAAGTTGAAACCATTCTCATAATAGGAATATTTTAGCAAAGGAATATTTTAGTGAAGGAACCTACTTTTATCAGTTTACTTCTGTCTCCTGGCTATTCCTCCAGCATATTGGCATATTCCTAAGACGTGAGTTCCCCAGTTTTCTTTCTTCTGAACTTGGGTGCAACATGACTTGTATGTACATGAGGCGCAGAGATCCTCGGGGTGCAGCTGGGGTCCTCGCGGTGCCTCTACCCAGCTAACACCCACTCCCTGAACGTGACCACTGTTTTCTTCTCTCACCACAGGTTAGTTTAGCTCGTTTCTGAACTTCATAAAGTAACACTTTGTTGATATGTGTAGCATAAGTTCATTCTTTTTTTAAAAATTGCTCTGTAGTATGTATGTGAATATGCCAACATGTCTACATCCATTCTAAATTAATGGACGTTTGAATTACTTCCAGTCGGAGCTGGCGATGACGAATAATGCTGCTAAGAACATTGTCATTTTCTTGGGCATGTACCCAGGATTGGCTTGCGGGCTCACAGGGTGTATTTATGGTTAGCTATAGTCAGTGTTGCCAGTTGATGCTCCTACCAGCAGTGTGTGAGGGTTCAGTTGTCCAGTTAACACTATTATCAATCCTTGTCATTTTAGCCTATCTGGTTGACAGTTCACAAGTTTTGATATTTCTCAAGTGTGAAGTTGAAAAGTAGTATTTAATAAATATAAATTACTTAAAATGTGTGTATTATGTTGAATATATGTGGTTACACAGGAGACAAAGGCAGGTTAATTTCCATATGGTAAGTGCTGCCAAGGTTCCTACCAGGTGCTGTGGGATTTAGGATATTGGGGGACAGCCCGGGGCTTCAGGGGACTTTCCTTGGAGATGACATCCGAGTTGCTCTAGGGCGAGACAAGTTGGCCTGGTAAGAGGATAGAAAGAGTTGAAAAGAGAAGGAACACAGAAAACGCCAGGAAATAGAGCAGCCCATTCTACCGGAAGAACTACGCTGTTCCACAGGAATAGAGTGAATGTGAGGGACATAGCGAGAATTTTGAGGGCAGCGACCCTATCTTACGTTGTCCGTGTGGTACCTGAAAACACACCTATTGGTTCAGGTGGGGTGGCGCACCTGGGACTCCAGCTTGTAAGCCGTCAACATCTGAGAAGTGTCTGATGGATTCTCTGCGGGCAACACAGATGGGGGAAAGAAAGCAGTGGGATGGAGGATGGAATGGAGAAGTATTTAGGTGTAAAATCAAGAGTTGGTCAGTTTCAAGCAATGGTGGAAGAAATATGGTTAGCTATAGAGAATATTGAAATTAAATTTGTAACTAAGCCTTCACTTTAATCTGCTAAATTACTTTTTAAGAATTCTGTTACTCCCAAATCTGAGTCATTTACTCTATCAAAGAAATAGTTTCCTGTTCTATTGATTGAGGTTCTTCCCCTTTAAAGCAAACTTCCTACCCTAATCCGGAGCTGGTGATTCTGGGTCCACCTCTAAACGCTGTCTCCCTCGTTTAGGTAGATGGGGAGTACACTTCATTTGGGATTTCTGAAGTCAAGGTTATACGCTATCTAGCAAAACTAACTCTAAAGTTAGTGTTTTGTTTTGATGACAAAAACTTCTCTGACTGTTCCAAAGCTCTGAGACTACTTTTCCCCGAAGCTGATAGGGTTTTTAAGTAAATCAGAAAGTCAACGTGAAACAGCCGCTGGGTCTTGGCAAACGTGGTGCCCAGCTGTGAGCCCAAGGCCCACCCAGCATCACCTCTCATTGGGCTCGGGAGGACAAAGCTAAACGCTGTGGTTTGATCGTCTTTACTGAGAGGCAATCGTTGCCTTTCTAGCAATCTGTTGTGGTGGCTGACTAGCAGCAGAGCCACCACATGAGAAACTCTAATGTACAATCATTACAGGTCAGATTGCCTTGGGAGTGGAAATGACAGAAAAGGGTGCGATGTGGAGATTAGCTCTGGCTTGCCTTTATTTTTTCTGACATTCCACTAGAATATGACCACATACTTCATCATCACATGAAATAAAAAGTAAAAGACTTTCTTAAGTGACTCTGGAACTAAAGTTTACAACCTGTGTATTGTGATGCAGAAACCTGCTGGCGATAAACCTACAAGATTTACCCTCTTGTTTACTGAACACCAGGTGGCGCTCTTGGTAAGTGCAATTGCTCGGAAATATCCCAGGGCAAAGTAAACCCAAAGGATCGGAGAGAAACTTGCCAACAGCGGTAACAGTAACTGCCAGTTCTGATTCACAGAAAGGAAAGGATAGCTCATGATCTCACGTCCAGGGAGAGGGACACAGCAAGCCAAGGACTCATCTACAGGGCACCTTCACCTCCCCAAACTTGTTTCACCTTTCACTCAACACAAGAGTCTTATGCAAGAAAGAAACCAGGACTCACATATAGCAAAACATGGTAATGCCCTGCTGTGTGGCTCAATGGTTTAGCACCAACCCATGAACCAGGAAGTCACACAGTTCAATTCCTGGTCAGGGCACATGCCTGGGTTATGGGCTTGATCCCCAGTGTGGGGCGTGCAGGAGGCAGCCAATCAATGATTCTCATCATTGATGTTTCTATCTCTCTCCCCCTCTCCCTTCCTCTCTGAAATCAATAAAAACATTTAAAAGTATAAAATATTTTTAAAATAGATACAAAAATGAAAACTAAGTAAAGGTAATCGTGAAAATAAAAATAAATGTTTACAAAAACAAAGCACATGGCAGTGCCCAACAGGAAGTCTGCCGGACAAGGAAAGCCAGGCTTTCCCACTGTTTCTGAGATCACACTCCCCTCCTTTAGCATGTCCGTCACGGCTCTGTGTCGTCTCAACTAGTCTGGAAGTTTCCACTGGGTATGTCCTTTGCCCCTGCATTCCAGGCTAAGAGAACAAAGAGGAGCCTCTTAGATTCTTGGTGTGAGCAAGTGCCATGGCTGGGCATTTCTCAAATTCCATGATTATCTGCTTTTCAAAAACACCTTAAGGAGCACCGGCTCTTCTCCATGGTTCTCCGAAAAATCAAGGTTTGCCTATTTCCAACCTAGATTCCTCGTAAGACACAAACCCTCCCAGTTGTCAGCATTCCTCGCCAACTACATACAGTTGACCCCTGAACATGGGTTTGGACAGTGCGGGTCAACTTACACATGGATTTCTTTTTTCAATAAATACTGTATTTTCCTGATGATTTTAATTTTTTTCTCTAGCTAACTTTATTGTGAGTATACAGTCTAGAATACGTATACAAAATATATGTCAACCAACTGTTCGTTATTGGCAAGTTTTGGGGGAGTCGTTACCTGTCATTTCTGACTGGGGATTGGCGCCCCTGCCCCCTGCACTGTTCAAGGGCCAACAGCGGATGAAAATCCGCATCAGCGTTAAAAAAACCGAGAGGGTATTTGTTCTTCTACAAGAGACTCCTCAGAGGATTCGCTTACGTATTTGCATACATTTATAACAGTTCAATAGATACATATAAATGCGCTTCCGAGCAGGCCTGTGACTCACCCGCAGGCTGTGCGTCTGCAGACTGCAGCTCCTCAGTGCTGTGCAGGGCTGCATGGTGTGACCCTCCACAGTGCACCTGTGCCCATCCCTTCTGTTTTGAACTCTTGGCCGCTTTCCTCTTTATTATATTTCACTGTGTTTTCAGGTGCCACTATTCTTTGTTGGGTACTTTATAACTTCATGTTAATTTGAGATAATTTTGTCTTTTTCTATTTCTTTGCCGAGTTACATCAAGCCTTGTTTCAACGCTCCCTGAGGTTTCTCTGTTTCCTCTTTGGGTCCATTTTTGGTGGAGATTTTTCATTTTCAGTCTGATTTCTGCAGTCCTGTGGGAGGTGAGTTATTTCCTTCAGACCGGGGCGGTTCCAGTTCTCTTCTGCCAGTGGCTGGCGAGACATGTCCCTGGGCTGTGTGGATCCTGTCGCTTCTTCTCACAGTGTTCACACCACCTGTCTTCCTTTTCCTGTTTGAAAGGCACTGCAGTTGGTTCTCGGTAGCAAGGACAGGGGTGTGTGTGGCTTCTCTCGTCTGTTGGGACGGTGCAATACAGCATTTCTTTGTGAGGTGGGAGGGTTTGGAGTCTCCTCTGAGGCCTTTATTTTAGTTTTCGCTTCTTTCACTTTCCCGTCAAGCCTCTAGGAGGTACCTTCCCCTCTCCTAGAAATGGGAGGCTCCCCAACAGGCGAGCTGCGATCTCAGGAACTTCCCAACATCCGCTTCTCGTGCAGCTGGTGTCGGATTCATCAGTGCTTCCTTCCCTCGCGGTGGGGTCCCTGCTGTCCCCGTGAACGGCCACGCTGGCCCCCATGGCCCTCACCTCTCCACCAGAACTTCCACCTGACTCCACCCTCCCGTGGGTCCTGGTGCGTGTTCTCTGCTGTCATGGAACTGTTTCCCGTGTCTCGGTGATGCTGCAGGGACAAGGGAAAGGTGACGTTGTTCCCCGGTCTGGATCGTGTCGGGAGGATTACGAAAGATTCGGATTTAGGCAGCTGCCAATATTTATTGAAAACCCACAAGCCCAAGTACCTTCCCTTAAACGTGAACACACAGCAAGAACGACCAGATGTGCGAGGAAAGCGTCCAACAGGAAGGGCAAAACCGAAAACCAACAGGAAGGTTGAAGACTATCCGTTAAATGGAACACCTTATGTGTTTTTTTAAAAAATTGAGAGAACAAAAGAAACCCCTGGATTAAAACCTAACAGCTGACATGAAACTCCTGCTGGGAAAACGGGGGGTGGGAGGGGGATACGAGTCTCCAAAATAAAGGACAGATACACAGCGACTAGGAGAAGCGGCAGGCCCACCGGCAGGTGCTCCACAAGCCGAGAATGCAGGAGAGAAATAATGTCATCATTTAAGAAAATATTGGGGCGGGGGGTGGGGGCGGCCAGGGAGAGGTCAATGGGGGAAAAGGGAGACTTATGTAATACTTTAAACAATAAAGAATTTAAATTTAAAAAAAAAAAATAAAGAAAATGTCCCCAAATGTAGGGCACACACGCAGGCCCACGCCAAAGCACACGGGAAGCCTACGAAGCCTGGGACCAAGGGCAAAGCCATGGGCGTCCGACCGCACAGAAAAGGCAGGTTACACACACACAGCCGGCCAAGGCTGCAGACGGCTCAGCACCCACACGACACCTAGAAGCAGGGAGGCGATGCCTTCCAAATCCTGAAGGAAACCCATGACCAAGTTGGAATTGGGAACTCAAATGAGCCATGAAGGGGACAACAGACACTGGCCTGGGAAAACTCGCCACCCACGTGGCTCCACAGGAAGCGCTGAGGGCACCCGAGCCAGACGGAGGAAGTAAACCCAGAAAGAGGAAGCGTGGGGTCCAGGAAACCCAAGATCCAACCGAGCGGGGAAGGGGCCCCCGGAACAACGGGGAGAGGCGCCTGAGGAAGACGGCGCTCAGCCCCCATAAAGGGCGATGGCTCCACAAGCCCTGCCCCAGGTCGGAGGCCGAAGGGAAAAGAGGGAGGAACCGAGGCAGGAAGGAGAACAGTCGATCGTGGAAGACAAGTCACCCTGGTTACTAACACGCATCTCAGCTTTAAGTGAGCACGCAGTCTATTAACCTGGTGTGAACCCAAGTTACAGCGCGATTACATGAGGAAGAGGGGGGATGGGGCAGGAGCTCGACAAGCAGCTGGGGCTGCAGAGGCCTGTGCGTGTCTCCCATGTTGGAAGTTAGAGATCACGCCTGGGGCTGCAAAATCGAGGCGCAGCGATGTCGCAACGGAATTCAGAGCCGGGCAAACGCCCAGGGATCACTTCGGCAGCCCCGACGCTGAAACGGGAACGATGCAGAGAAGGTTAGCACGGCCCCTGCACACGCATGACACGCGAATTCATGAAGCGTTCCCCCTTTTTTAAGAAAAGTCACTTCTCTGGTCCTGTTTTATTTGTAAGTGGAGATCAAGATTGCTCTGCTTGCTTTGTGTGTTCTGGGGAAAAATTGTAAGGGTATTTTATAGCACACCAAAGAAATAGAGTGATTTGGGCAGGAAAAGACTTCATCTCAATGCAAAGGAGACCTTACACCCAATAACCTCTGACACCTTGTTCAGAGCTCAATCCATTCGATGAAAGGAGCGTTAGCTGCCTGTAGCTGTGTGCGCGCTCCCTGTCTTGGGAAGTGGCCTGTGTCCTCTACTTACAAGTCTTCCAGCTCACGAGGCCCTGCCCTTCATGTTCATCACTGACCCCATGGCAGATCCTTGAACATGGCCGTGTTTCAGGTGAAACTGACTTGCTGGCGATGATGAAAAGAATCTGCATTAAAACCAAAGTCGGAATCCGGGGGATGTACCCCTGACCTCAGATGTCCCCAAAACCATCCTTGAAGCACTAAGACTGGGTGTTTCTAAACAACTGAATGTTTTTAAACAACTGAAAACAAGCTAATGTACAATGATGTTATTAAACATACGGTACACAGTTCTCATCCTTGGCCCAGGTGCCCCTTGGGCAATCTGTATTTCATTAGGTCTTACACGACTAAGTCTGTAGTGTAGCTATTGTGCTTAAAATGGCTCTAAGTGTCACACAATTAAGTGGCTGAGCCAGAACTAAACAGATTGGTCAATTCTGTCTGCTCTTTTTACTACACTGCCTAATTTAATTAGTCTTCATCTCGAACTCATTTGTCCTCTCCCTGAATTCACCCAGCTGCATTTCAGTACAATTTTCCAAACGCCCTAAGATGGGCTGGGGGGGGGGGAAACCCACACTAAAGATATTTAAAGGAGAGGTAAGTGATAAGAGCTCATACAGTTTAGTCTATGACACACAAACTAACCCACACTAAAGATATTTAAAGGAGAGGTAAGTGAATATGTCCACTGATCTCATTTTATAAGAGCTCATACAGTTTAGTCTATGACACACAAATTCATAACTACTCCCACCCAACAGGACACCTCTGACAATTAGGGACAAAGGGCCAATGCCCCGTCCTTTTGCAGCACAGGGCGACACCGGTGTGCTCCAGAGCATCAGTGTTAGAGTCGTTCTAAAAATG